ACTGAGCCGGGGACCGGGGCGGCCCCCTCCAGGACTGAGCCGGGGACCGGGGCGGCCCCCTCCAGGACTGAGCCGGGGACCGGGGCGCCCCCCTCCAGGACTGAGCCGGGGACCGGGGCGCCCCCCTCCAGGACTGAGCCGGGGACTGGGGCGCCCCCCTCCAGGACTGAGGCAGGGACCAGGTGCCCCCCTCCAATACTGAGCCAGGGACCAGGGCGGCCCCCTCCAATACTGAGGCAGGGACCAGGGCGGCCCCTCCAATAATGAGGCAGGGACCAGGGCAGTCCCTCCAGGACTGAACCAGGGACCAGGGCGGTCCCCTCCAATACTGACGCAGGGACCAAGGCGGCCCCTCCAGTACTGAACCAGTGACCAGGGCGGCCCCCTCCAATACTGAGCCAGGGACCACTCCGGCCGCCTCCAATACTGAGGCAGGGACCACGGCGGCCCCTCCAATAATGAACCAGGGACCAGGGCGGCCCCTCCAATAATGAACCAGGGACCAGGGCGGCCCCTCCAATACTGAGCCAGACACCAGGGCGCCCCCCGCCTCCAGGACTGAGCCAGGGACCGGGGCGCCCCCTCCAATACTGAGCCAGGGACCAGGGCGACCCCCCTCCAGGACTGAGGCAGGGAGTAGGGCGCCCGCTTCCAATACTGAGCCAGGGAGCAGGCGGCCCCTCCAATACTGAGCCTGGGACCAGGGCGCCCCCCTCCAGGACTGAGCCAGGGACCAGGGTGCCCCCTCCAATACTGAGCCAGGAACCAGGGCGCCCCCCTCCAGGACTGAGGCAGGGACCAGGGCGCCCCCCTCCAATACTGAGCCAGGGACCAGGGCTGCTCCCTGCATTTCCAGAACAAATGAGTTCGCCTCCCATGTTTTACCCCAACATAACAAGTTATTACAAGGAAAACGTTCCTCGTAAAATGGAAGGAGCCGTGCCCTGAGCACCCAATGCTCACTGCTGAGGCCCCAGAACTAAACCTGCCACACAGTTCCATCCTCACAATTGCCGTCCACCAGTCCATCTTAGTTTTAGGTGGATTTCAAGTATTTTCTTGAGTGTAGCTCTGTCGCCCAGGCTGGAGTGCAGTGGCGCAATCCTGGCTCACTGCAACCTTCCCCTCATGGGTTCAAGAGATTCTCCTGCCCGAGCCTCCCGAGTAGCTTGGATTACAGAGGGACACACCACCACAGCCGGCAAATTTCTGTATTTTTAGTAGAGATGCCATTTCACCATTTTGGCCAGGCTGGTCTCGAACTCCTGACCTCAGGTGATCTGTCCGCCTCGGCCTCCCAAAGTGCTGGGATGAAGTTTTAGAGCTCAGGACACTGCCCCCTAAACCTTCCACCTGCAGGTTCTTTGAGCGCTCGCTCGTGTGTCCTTCCTGCGCTGCCCGTCGGGGGCGGGGCTCACAGTGGGATGCCCAGAGCTGTCTGGTGAGCGCTGGCAGCTGCCTGCTCCTGGATAGTCCTGGTCCTGTTGAGAGGGAGAGCCCACGGCTCCCCACCCATCTCCCCTTCCCCGCCTGAGAGGCCACCCCTGCAGTGGGCTCTTCGCCCTGGTGCACGGCGTGTGCCTGGCTGGCGCTGCGCCACGGCTCACAGGATGGGAGTGGCTGCCCATCCGCCCCTGGGGGACGCCCTGCTGTCTACAGTCCTGACTCTCCAGAGCAGAGCTGCGGCGGACGTGGCTGCGTGGCTCGTCCTGCGGGCAGCTGCCCCCTTCTCCGGCAGAGCGCCCGCCTGTGTGCAACGCCGTCCCTCTGACATCTGTGGATTTATCATCCAGCTGTGGCTCCCTGACGGTCAGGTAGACGCTCACCAGCGTTGTCCCCGGCCTGGCTGGCCTCATGTGCTTGGCAGTCTTGTCTTGATGAGGCCTTTAGACTCTGATGCATTGATGGTGATGAGGTCTTTCCTGGCTCCTCCACTCTGCTCTGTGGAAGAAACCTTCTTCGCCTGACCCCTGCCGCTGTGTGCAGCCGCACGTCAGAGACCTGGGTGTGGGCTGGGCGTGTGCCGCAGTGTCAGAGGCCTGGGGATCTGCAGACTCCTGGAGGAGGCTGGGTGCTCTGGGCTTTGGGAGCCAAACGGTGCTCCCAGCAGCACTCTCTGTGCACGTGGAGGGCAACAGAGCCCACGAGGCCCGGCAGAGAACAGCTCCAGAGAGGCTCAGGAGGCTCCAGAGGACACACAGGCAGGAGGATACCATAGCGCCAACAGCCGGAGTGAGGGGTCCTCCCAGATCCTGACTTCAGCTGAGAACCCAGAAGGTCCATACCTTGGTGCAGGGCTCCCTGGCCCTGGAGTCCCTGCGCCAACAACCCTGAAGCCAACCCTGACAGAAGAAAAGTGAGCCACGGGACAAACGCAGAGCGCGGCCGGGGAGATCACACCCTCCACCCTTCACGGCACACATCACAGCCACGCCCAGTGAGGCTGTCCCACAGGTAAGGGGGGGCGTGACCGTGACAAGAGAGTCAGCAGCAGCCCACACGTCACTTCACACAGTGCTGGGGCTTTGATGCGTCCCCCAAGGGTCCTGTGTTGGAAACTTGATCCCCAATTCCGCTCGGCTGGGGCTGGGGCCTGGTGGGAGGACCTGGGCCGCTGTCCTCGCAGACGGGCGAATGCCTCAGCATGGTGTGAGTTCCTGATTAACGGGCAAATCTGGCCCCTCCTGTCCTCGCACCCCTGCCTTCCACCACGGGGAGACACAGGAGGAAGATCCTTGCCAGACACCGCCCTCAATCTGGGGCTTGCCGGCCTCTACAAGTGTGAGCCCATCAATTTCTGTTCATCATAAATGGCCCAGTCTGTGGCACAGCAGCACAAAGCGGACTGAAACAGCACAGACGTGTTCAAAGACTTAACGGAAAAGATGGCCATTGAATGCGCACGTGGGAAGCCTCAGCGGAGAGACCCAACGGAGAACCAGACGGGCTGGAAAATGCCACGGGCAACGCAACAGTCACGACGGCCGTCAGAGGCTGGAGGCTGCGGGAAAGGAGCGAACTTAGCCCGGCGCCAGCAGAGCACAGAAGCTGAGGCCAACAGCCAGGGCTGAGGGGCCCGGGGACAGGGCCGAGCACTCCTGTCACACACACAACCAGAACCCAAGAACGAAAGCAGGGCTGGGCCTGTCTAAAACTCCGCAATCCAGCCAGACAGCACTTTGGGAGGCTGAGGAAGGTGGTTCACGTGAGGTCAGGAGTTCAAGACCAGCTTGGGCAACAGAGTGAAACCCGGTCTCTAGTAAAAACACAAAAAATTAGCTGAGCATGGTGGACAGCGCCTGTAATCCCAGCTACTCGAGAGGCTGAGGCAGGAGAATCACTTGAACCCAGGTGGCAGAGATTGCAGTGAGCCAAGATTGTGCCACTGCACTCCAGCCTCGGCGACAGAGCAAGCTAACAACAAAGCTGGCCAGGTGTGGTGGCTCACGCCTGTAATCCCAGCACTTTGGGAGGCTGAGGCAGGCGGAGGACCTGAGGAGTTGACGACCAGCCTGACCAACATGGAAAAACCCCATCTCTACTAAAAATACAGAAAATTAGCTGGGTGTGGTGGCAGGTGCCTATAATCCCAACTACTGAGGAGGCTGAGGCAGGAGAATCACTTGAACCCGGAGACAGAGGTTGCAGTGAGCCAAGGCCTAGGTGGCAAGAGCGAAACTCTGTTTCAAAAAAAAAAAAAAAAAAAAAAAAAAAAAAAAAAAAAAAAAAAAAAAAAAAAAAAAAAAAAAAAAAAAAAAAAAAAAAAAAAAAAAAAGCAAAGTTAAGGTAGAAAAATGTTCCACGAAATAATGGCTCACATTTTTCCAAAGTTAATTTTAAAAAGTACTGTACCCACACAGAGCTCCAAGGAGTCAATGGATCCCAAGCAGGATAAAGTCAGAAAACCACACCTAAGTACAGCACAGTCAACATTTTAAACCAAACATAAAACCTCAAAAACAGAAAAACTGACCCATTCTAGAACATTCACAAGGGAACAATATTCAGCAACCTGAGTCCTGAACAGGCTCAGCACCAAAGCCAGCGCCAGCCCTGAACACGGGCCCAGGCAGTGCTCAAGACGCCCCGTGCTACTCGATTCTGTTTGGGCAGTTCTCCTCAGAAGAGCCCACATCCAGAAACTCCTGCGGCCCCTGCGCCAGGAACAGATGAAGAAGGTGTGGGGTGTGCCCCGACGGACGGCCTCCCAGCACCGAGAAGCCATGACTTGCGGCTCCTGCACAGCACACGCCACCAAGACGCCAAGGTGAAGGAAGCACAAACCACAGCTTCCTAGAAGCTGGCGCCGGAGACCTGCGACCGCCACCCAAGGGCCCACGTAGCCATCTGGGACCACAAAGCCATCCAGGGCCACTCCTTGGGCTGCAGGTTACAGGCTGTGCCAGGCATATGTGCGGATGTGTGCGTAGATGTGCGCATGTGCGTATGTGCCTGTGTGCTCGTGTGGCTGTGCGTCCCTGTTTGCGGATGTGTGTGTGCGGAGGTGCATGTGTGCGGAGGTGCATGTGTGCGGAGGTGCGTGTAGGTGTGTCTGCGGATGTGCCTGTGTGCTTGTGTACACGTGTTTGTGGCTGTGCATGCCTGTGTGCAGATGCGTGTGTGGGTGTGTGGATGTGTGTGGATGTGCCTGTGTGCTTGTGTACACGTATTTGTGGCTGTGCATGCCTGTGTGCGGGTGTGTGTTTGTGTATGCGTTTGTGGCCGTGCATGCCTGTGTGCGGATGTGCGTGTGTGTGGATGTGCATGTGTGCTTGTGTACACGTGTTTGTGGCCGTGCGTTCCTGTGTGTGCGTTACTGTGTACATATGCATGTGTGGGCATACGTGTACGCATCTGCATGTGGCTGTGTGTGTAAGTGTGCACACACATGCAGGGCTAGGAGACCACACCTCCCAGCAGGGAAAGCTCAGTCGCTTGGCTGAGAAACGGCACCCAGGGACTCCCCAGCCACAGGCTGTCGGATAGGCAGTGAGGCTTTGTGGCCCACACCCAGCCTCTGCCCACAGAGGTGGAATCCCAGCAGCCTCCCCAAGGGCTGGGGTGGGCTCTGGTTCAGGATGGGGCCTCAAGCCGGCCTCCCGGGGCCCTGGGTGCAGCCAAGGGGAACAAAAGTGGCCGGGCGCGATGGCTCATGCTTGTAAACTCAGCACTTGGGGAGGCCGAGGCGGGCGGATCATGAGGTCAGGAGAGACAAGCTTGGCCAACATGGTGAAACCCCATCTCTACTAAAAATACAAAAAATTAGCCAGGCATAGTGGTGGGTGCCTATAATTCCCGCTACGCGGGAGGCTGAAGAAGGAGAATCGCTTGAACCCAAGAGGCAGAGATTGCGGTGAGCAGGGATCAGGCCACTGCGTTCTAGTCTGCGCAAAAGGGCAAGGCTCCACCTCAAAAAACAAAACACTGAAGCAGCCAGAAGTGACCCCCAGAGCAGCCCTCACCTGGGAAAAGCTGCTCGACTCACAGGACACACACTTCTGCCGCACTAACGGTCTGCTGAACCCCACTTCTGCCCACAAGTGGCAACTGCCATTCATCCCCATTTAACAGGTGGGTAAACTGAGGCAAGAGGTAGGAAGCTGCACCACAAAACATTCTTGGGGTCCAGGTGGCCACAGCCCATGCTCCTGCGCCCCTGGGCAGCCGCTCCTGAAGGTGCAGCCACGTCACATCCACTCCCTGGGCTTCAGTTTCCCTCATCTGACAGCCTCATCGGGCTGAGGGGCCAGATTCTGGTATCGCCTGCTGTGGGCGCCAATGTAAGGCTTATACACTGCTGTGGCCTCCTGGACCTGCCCATCCCTCACTCCTTCACAAGGACCCCGATTTCCACCACTACAGACACTGACTGGGGGTGCACTTGGGTCCCCCGGAGAACCCCACTAAAAGATGCCACGTGCCTTCCTGCAGGAGCTCAGGCGTTTGCCGTACAGCCAGCAGCACCAAAAATGAATTTAACCAGGTTTCCAGGGATGATCCAGCTCCCAGGCACAGCTAATCACGGACTGGGGGCGGCCCCAAATGTGCTCAGAGCTCCCCGAGGCCCGGTGGTCATCTTCAGGCACCCCCACCCTGGGAAGGTGGCCCTGGCTGGTGAGAGGCTCAGCCCCCAGCCCCCTCCTCATGCCCACCTCAGTAGACCCCGGCAGGGGAGGTAGGTGTGAGCAGATGGGACGGAGCCAGGTGGGCCAGGCGCTGCCTTTCAAAGGGTGAAGCTAGGAGTGGCGCACAGTGTCACTGCCACACAAGTCACTCCAGCCACCCGACGCCCACTCTGGGCTGGCCGAGACCTCCCACGAGCCGAGTGCGGGCACGTGCCTGCAGTTAACGCCGGGGCTTCATCCTGCGTGGACACGGGCAGTGGAAGTCACTCCTGACTTGGTACTCAGGCTCCTCGAGGCCTGGCCTGCTCTGGGCCACCCGCTTCCCAACAGAGCTGTTTCCCAAAAAGGGGACAGGGCCAGAAACCCACCCTCCCCGCAGAACCTCCTCGCCAGGAAGTGGCGCTCACACCACGATCAACCCACAATTCAACGCACCTGCCGGTGACCTGGGGTTGCCCCGCCAGAGGCTGCTGCGACCCCGGCACGGCCCTGCCGCGGCCTCCCGCCCCCGCCCCCACCCGCCACCAAGCGGGTCTCACCTAGGCGGAGCTCCCCGAAGTTGCCACAGCCGATCTTCTTGCCAACGCGGAAGTTGGGGCCCACCATCAGGACCCCCGAGCTGGCCCCCGAGCTCCGGACGCCGTGGCTGCTCCGGCCCCCGCCGGCCTTGGACATTCTCCGGCCCTCCTCCGTCTCCCCTTTCCCTCCTTTCTTGTCAAAATCCATAAGTTTGTGATACCCTGGCCTCTCCACGGTGACTCTGCTGCCGTGCAAATCCCAAGTCTGTGGAAACCTGAGGTCCTGGCTCCTCTGAGGCTAGAACATCCCGGCGGCGGGCGGGCGGGCAGGGCCCGCAGCTCCCGGCTACTGAGACGCAGGCGCTTGGGCCGGCCAGGCCGCGGTGCTCATCTTGGTGGCCTCGGGGTCGCTCTCGGGGGCGGAAGACATCCTGCTGACAGGTCCCACTGCTCAAAGCTCACGGTTCACAGCTGTGGAGAAACAGACACAGGTGAGCACCAGCGAGGCCCCCATGGGGTCGGGGCTGCAGAGCCACTGAGGACGGGCGGAGGGGGTGGAGGACATGGGCAGGGGGTTGCTATGCTGGAAGGGGCTCTGAAGGTCGGGGCATGACAAGCACCATCCCTGTCCCAGAACCCAGCTGGGAAGCACGCGCTGCATGACATCAGAGGCCAGAGGTCTCGACGAAAAGGGTGGGGCTCAGGGGCTTTCTGGGGAGCAAGGTGGGTGGGAGGGGTGGCACGGGCGGGAGAGCATGCTGCTAGGAGGGCATGGTTGCCAATCCCAGGGAGAGGCCAGAGGGTCCTGAAGCCTGGGGCAGTCCACTCCCAGACACAGAGGGGCCACACAACGGTCCCTGTCCCCAGGCCCCAGGCTGTCTAAGAAAGAGGGAGGGAGACAGGTGACAGCAGGCAGGCCCAAGGCAGGGACACGGGAGCCACCGGGCTGCCACTGCTAATGTTGGTTGGGTGATGCTGAGGGCGGGCCAGAAGGCAGGAGGCCCCCGGCCCTGACCCAGGCTCAGGCTTCGCTCTCCAGGGCCACTGGTTGAGTGGGGCAGACTGAATGCCACTCGCAGCTGTGATGATGCCAGAATGGGTCCAGCCCAGACCCCTTCGGTGCAGAGCGGAGCTGGAGAGGGACCGGCGTGGCCTGAGGTACCAGTGTAACCCAACGTGACCTAAGCAAGGCCAGACAGCCAACTTGCTACCCCAGGGGAAAGGACAGAGGCCTCTGGTCCTGAGAACGAATGCACAGTTCCCGCTCCTCAGATGGTGGGACCCCAGCCCACAGCCCCTCACTGTGTCCACACCACCTTAAATACTCCTGAGCCCAGGGCCACCAAGGGCCCCAAAACCCGCTGCCGCCCACAGAGAAACGCAGTCTGGACAGGGCTCATGGCTGAGGGGACTCCGTGGGTTGCTCACAGGCCCCGACAGGAGGCAGAACAGTTCCCTTGAGGAACCTCAGGCAGCCTGGGGAGGGGTCCCACCTACAGAACCAAAGGACGAGACTGTGGTTTAACTGAGCTCTACCACACGGCAACCCCAGGGACGCGGCTGTCACCTCCTGACGCCCTTGAGCCAGGAAACTGCCCAGGAGGCCAAGAACCCTGCACGTGGGGCCACCACAGGCCACCCGCCAGTCCGCACAGATCCCGCCAGGTCCTCCCTCACCCAGGCCCCAGCGGCACCCCCACCCTACCCTGGGGCTCCAGGCAGAGAGAAGCACCACCTTCACGAGAGAAGGGGGGAACCAGAGTTCGCTGCTGTCCCCCTAGATGTGCAGGGGAAGAGGTGCCCTGCCAACGAGCAGGACGTGGGGGCCACAGGTGAGAAAGGGCAAGCAGAGCACAGCCATTGTCAAGAATGGAAGGACAGGAGCTCCCCGCTGAACAAGCCACACCGGACAAAGGCACTGACGTCACCAGCTGCTGCGCGGCACGCAGCCCCTGCGCTCGTGTCCGAGAAAGGCCCTCTGATCATCCCAGGCGGCCCTGAGGGTTCCACACCGCCATCAAGTCACTCAAACCTTCCAGTTTCCCAGCACGCACAAGAGTCACGTTCCCAGCGTACCGTGGCCTAGGACGTGTGCGGTAGCGCTGTGTCTGATTAAACAACGGACGCACTGCAATTAAGCGGGCGTGGTGCCGCAAGCCTGTGGCCACAGCTACTCAGGAGGCTGAGGCGGGAGGACCGCTTGAGCCCGGGAGGCGGAGGCTGCAGCCAGCTATGATCGTGCCACTGCACCCCAGCCCAGGTGATAGAGTGAGACCCCATCTTAAATAATGAAGAAATGCAAGTGCCTTACTGCTAAGCCCCGGTGATGACCGTCGGAACCATGCGTGAGCCCTCATCCTCCCGGAGGTGGACAGCGGCTGCTGAAGGCTGGGGACGCTGGGGCAACGTCTCAAATTCTGACTACAAGAGTCGGCCACACGGACGGACTCTTCCTTTCACGCGATTTCTCCGTGGGGCGGCTGCCTGACGGCATTTACTACCCATAGCAGAACGTGTTTCAGAACCGGAGTCGGTCCTCTCAGACCTGCTGCTGCTTCATCAGCTGAGGCTGCGGGATATTCCCAGTCCCTTGTTCTCATTTGGACAACGTCCACAGCGTCTGCACCTGGACTGGAATGCAGCTGGAGCAAATCCTCACGTGTGAGTGTTTTCTCATGAGATCGTGGCCACTCGGTCGCATCTCCAGGTTCTTCTAATTCTCGTTCTTTGCTGCTAAAACCTCTGCAGCTTGATCCCTTGCCGCGATCCTTGGAAGACTGGAATCCACTTCTTCCAAAATTCCACTGATGCTGACATCTGACCTCCTTCCACGAATCACGCATGTTCATCACGGCATCTAGAAGGGCAAATCCTTTCCAGGGGGATTCAATTCACTCGATTTCCCCAGTGCCACCAGAGGACTCACTCTCCATGCTACCTACAGCCTTACAAATGTATTTCTAAACCATGAGAGTTATGGGCCAGGCACGATGGCTCCTGCCTGTAATCCCAGCACTCTAGGAGGCGGATGAAGGCGGACGCCTGAGGCCAGGAGTTCAAGACCAGCCTGGGAAACCCAGGGAGACCCTATCTTTACAAAAATAAAAACAAAGTTAGCCAGTCACATGGCAGTGCTCACCTGCGGTCCTAGCTACTGAGGAGGCTGAGGTAAGAGGATCACTTGAGCCTGGGAGGCGGAGGCTGCACTGAGCTGTGACTCTGCCATTCCACTGCAGTCTGGGAGACACAAAGAGACTTTGTTTCAAAAATAGTAAGACTTGGCCAGGCACAGTGGCTCAAGTCTGTAGTCCCAGCACTTTGGCAGGCTGAGGCAGGCAGACTGCTTTGAGCTTAGGAGTTCCAGACTGGCCTAAGCAACATGGCGAAACCCCACCTCTAAGAAAAAATGTAAAAATTAGCTGGGCTTGGTGGGACATGCCTGTAGTCCCAGCTACTCAGGAGGCTAAGGCAGGACAACTGCTTCAACCCAGGAGTGCAGCGTCACTACACTCTAGCCTGGGTGACAGAGTGACACCTTTTCATTCATTCACTCATAAATGACATGCCAAGGAGTCATCTTGGCTTCCGAGTCATTCATTCATTCATTCATTCGTCCATTCATTCATTGATCCATGGGCTGCAGAATGCATGCCATGCCACCAAGGACAGAAACACACGTCGTCCGTCTGTCTCCAGCAGGGCTCTGGGGCGACCGGTGCCCTCAATGAGCAGTCATGTTTTAAAAGGAATCTTTTTTTCTGAGCAACAGGTCTCAAAGTGGGCTTCAGATATTCCGTAAACCTGGCGTTAAACAGGTGTGCTGTCATCCAGATCCAGGCCGTTGTTCTATTTCTTTCCTTTTTTTGAGATGGAGTCTCACACTGTCGCCAGGCTAGAGTGCAGTGGTGCGATCTCGGCTCACTTCAACCTCCGTCTCCCGGGTTCAAGCGATTCTCCTGCAACAGCCTCCCGAGCAGCTGGGGTTACAGGTGCACGCCACAACGGCCGGCTAATTTTTGTATTTTCAGTAGAGACAGCGTTTCACCACGTTGGGCAGGCTGGTTTTGACCTCCTGACCTCCTGATCTGCTCCGGCCTCCCCAAGTACTGGGATTACAGGCATGAGGAACCGCGCCCGGCCCTGTTGTCTTATCTAGAGCACAGAGTAGGTCTGGCATCCTTCTCAGGGGCCCTAGGATTTGGGGAATGGTAAAAGCCCTGGCCTCACCTGAAAGTCACCAGCTGCATTAGCCCCTAACAAGAGGGTGGGGGGTGGGGCTTTCCTTTCAAGCCAGGGAAGCACTTCTCCCACTTGGGGAAAGTCCTGGGTGCCATCTTCTTCCAGCAGAAGGCTGCTTCTTCCACGCTGAAAATCCGCTGAGCACAGCCACCTCCATCAATGATCTTGTCTGAATGCTGGCTAACGTATCTCCATCTGCACTTGCTGCTTTTCACCTTGAACTTGAGTTTTTTGGTGTTTTTTTTTTTTTTTTTGAACTCTTTTTTTTTTTTTTTTTTGACACAGGGTCTCACTCTATCACCCACAATCACAGCTTGCTGCAGCCTCAACCCCCTGAGCCCAAGCGATCCTCCCACCTCACCGGTGCTCCAGAATAGCTGGAGCTACAGGCATGCACCACCATGCCCAGCTAATTAAAAACATTTTTTTGCAGAGGCTGGGCATGGTGGCTCCTGCCTGTAATCCCAGCACTTTGGGAGGCTAAGGTGGGCAGATCACTTGAGGTCCAGGAGTTCAAGACCAGCATGGCCAACATGGTGAAACTCCAACTCTACTAAAAATACAAAATTTAAGCCAGGCATGGTGGCTCCTGCCTGTAATCCCAGCACTTCGGGAGGCGGACGCAGGCGGACCGCTTGAGGCCAGGAGTTCAAGATCAGCCGCCTGGCCAACATGGTGAAATCCCCACCTCTACTAAAAAAAAAAAAAAAGTACAAAAATTAGCTGGGCATGGTGGTACGTGCCTATAATCTGAGCTACTCAGGAGGCTGAGGCAGGAGAATCACTTGAACCAGGACCCAGGAGGCGGAGGTTGCAGTGAGCCGAGATCGTGCCACTGCACTAAAGCACGGGCTACAGACGGAGACTCCCGTCTCAAAAAAACAGAACTAGGCAGGCGTGGTGGTGAAGCCTGTAAGCCCAGATAGCCAGGAGGCTGAGGCAGGAGAATCACTTGAACTCGGGAGGCGGAGGCTGCAGAGAGCTCAGATTGTGCCATTGCACTACAGCCTGGCCAAAGAGTGAGACACCATCTCAAAGGAAAAAAATCATCAATGGGCTACAATAAACTCACAACAGAGCACTATATATTTCACTTTCATGAAAAAGTTATAATAAACCACCATGCTACTCCCTATCTCTGTGGATGGGCCTGTCCTGGAGATTCCTTTTCTTTCTTTATTTTGAGACAGAGTTTCACTCTTGCTGCATGGGCTGGAGTGCAATGGCGCGAT